GGCACGCTCAGAGGAAGGGAGGTGGCGACGCACAGCAAGACGTGCAGCAGCATCGCGGGTCGCCCACTTGGAGCGAACGGCAGAGTCAGCATCAGCAGGCGGGGCAGGGACAGCACCAGAGACAAAGTCAAAGAGAGAGACCTCATCTACCGCATCACACAGTAAGTACAGCTGCAGATCCTCGATCCAGACGGCAAAGTCAATGGCCCTCCCCTCAGCGTCAAAAGTGAGAACATTGGGGGTGGCCATAGCAGCAGCTGAAAGTCTCACCGGGATGGGAGAGTCGGGTAGGTCAGCAGCAGGCGGCTCGGGCTGCTCGTGCAGCTCAGGCGGCTCGGGCTGCTCAGGTACCGGGCGGCTCTGCTACTGCGGGGCGGCTCGGCTACTGCGGGGCGGCTCGGCTGCTGCTGGGCGGCTCGGCTGCTGCTGGGCGGCTCGGCTGCTGCTGGGCGGCTCGGCTGCTGCTGGGCGGCTCGGCTGCTGCTCGGCGGCTCGGCTGCTGCTGGGCGGCTCGGCTGCTGCTGGGCGGCTCGGCTGCTGCTGGGCGGCTCGGCTGCAGTGCAGTGGCGGGGCCGGGACAAGGCCGGCGGTAGGGCCGGCGGTAGGGCCAAGTAGGAGCCGGCGGCGGGCCGAGTAGGAGGCCGGCGACGGGCCGAGTAGGAGGCCGGCGGCGGGGCCGAGTAGGAGCCGGCGGCGGGGCCGTGTAGGAGGCCGGCGGCGGGCCGAGTAGGAGGCCGGCGGCGGGCCGAGTAGGAGCCGGGGCCGGGCCGTGTAGGAGGCCGGCGGCGGGCCGTGTAGGAGGCCGGCGGCGGAGCCGAGTAGGAGCCGGCGGCGGGGCCGTGTAGGAGGCCGGCGGCGGGCCGAGTAGGAGGCCGGCGGCGGGCCGTGTAGGAGGCCGGTGGCGGGCCGAGTAGGAGGCCGGCGGCGGGCCGTGTAGGAGGCCGGCGGCGGGGCCGAGAAGGAGGCCGGCGCGGGGCCACGTAGGAGCCGGCGGCGCAGGGCCGCGTAAGGGGCCAGCGCGGGGCCGCGTAAGGGGCAGGCGGCGGGGCCGCAGGGGAGAGGGCGACCCGAAGGGTCGCTAAAACAAAAAGGGCGCGCCTCGGGGCGCGCTTCGGTGGGCCCAAAAAATTCGGTCCTGGAGGGACCTAGCTCTATACCATGTGAAACTATGAGCAGAGGAATGAATGACTAAGTCAGAGTTGGGTACAAATACAACCCTAGCAAACTGTCCCCCATATGTGCTACCCCACTATAGCCTACAAACATGCATCAGCTATAATAATCTGACATATGGACGGCGTTGATCGTGGCCCGATGGGTCTGGCCACGAAAGCTTCTCCCATCCCTGGAAGCTGCTCTCGCGTACTGCATCAGCGCATTAGTTGACTCCGCCACACGTACTGCTTCGAGGAACGATGTCAGGCGGCTTCGACAGACCTCAAACTGTATTTCATATTTAATGTCAGAATCCCAACCACTAGACCATTGGGATAAAAGGGCTTGTTTCAGTAGCGGGTCAGTGCGCCCATAACCCCCCAGGCAAACGCGCCTGTAACCCTCTCCAGGATCAATCGGGCATCCACAGTGCAGATCTACTGACATTTAAGGCCGCTGACGTATTTATCCAACCGCTCTGCTTCCGACATGTCATCGATCTGGTCGGCGAAGCCCATAAATGACGCCGTGTAGTCTTGGACAGAAGCAATCTGCGACCATGCACGCAGCTTCATGCGAGCTTGCTCCGAGGCGGATACGTGCTCGAAGCGATCTCGTAAGGCTGCGCCCCAATCCTTCCATGTGCGTATCTTGGTCACACCGAAGATCGGTTCTGCCACTTGATTAACCACTGTAGAGGTCCCGTCTGCCGCATGTGTCACACCTGTCGAAGTCCCTGTTTTTAAGGTTCGGCACCACCATTCAAGCGCCGCGCCCCGAAGAAGTGAAACCGCGTAATTAATACGCGTGGCATCGTCGTTAACGCCTGCTGCCGTGAAGAACACCTCAACACCGAACAACCACCCTTTCACTGTAGTCGTCTTGTCCGTAGGATTAAACGGGGGCGGGTTGACGGGTTTGATCTTGATCGTCGTAACTGCAACTGGCGCTGCTGCCGCTCGCTGCCTATCTTCTTCTTCTAAGTCACGTGTGAGAGCATCCAGCGGGTTGCTCATCGCCTGAGTGTTGCCCTCGCCTTCGTCCACAGGTGACTCCTGACGTGCTTCACCTCGCGTCTGGCGTAGCTCGGCGTTTTACTCTCGTAGTGTTGTCACTTCCGCTATTAATGTCTTCATGCTCTCCTGCATTTCTGCCACTTGCGCCATCATCCGGTTAACAGCCTCCTGATCCATGTGCCTAGCACTACGTCTAGTGGGCAGTCGGGTCTCCGTGGCCTTCAGGCAAGTGAAAACACGAACTATCGGAGTCGGGCATGATTGAATTAACAATCCCTGCAGCCAACCGTCGTCTAGTCACTAAACCAACCACACCCTATGCCACCAAACTACCCTCGGAAAAGCGGGGTGAACTAGGAAAGTAGCTCTGATACCAGGTGTTATGAGTTGTAAAGGAGAGTGCGCAGGTAAACGAATAACGAGGCTGTGACTGAAAATGAACTGCGAATATAATGAATGCACAGACTAATGTAGGGCTAGTCTGCCTAGGAGGGAACCTCGGGAAATGAGGTTGGGTGCAGGTTTGGCGATGGACATGCCGAAGGCGACGCGAGGAGCCTCGGCAGCGTTGAAATCGGCCGAACGTGCGAACTCCGAAAATCGGGTTGTACGCGAAGCAGTCAACACCGATAAGGAATTCAGGAAAATTCCTTACAGGGATGAACAAATATTCATCAGTGTGCTCATACCGGAAAGGCAATCGCGCCATAGCGGAGAGGAAACGAGTAAAGGAGAACCGATCAAGCCCCTCAATCAAAGCGCAGGAGCCATGTGCGATGACGCATTTGCGGTTCGAGCTTTCCCATACTCATGCAGGTTAGGAGGCGATATCGGGACGGTCCTGCGAAGCCCGCGTTTGCGAGCTCAGATAAGTTTTCCACCATCCTGTAAGTATACCGGTTTTAAGTGAAGTGTCGTGGCGGCATGGCAATCTTGCTTTCTGTTGATCATTCGTTAGGTACGACGAGGGTCGATGGAGATCCCGTCCAGAATGGACAATCCGAAAGTTGGATGGTGGCGCAGCGTAACCAGGTGACGTAACGTTCTGAGTGAATCGCCTCTACTATTAATAATCGAGCTTGCTGGTTGAAGAACGGTTGTGTCTTTCTCTCCACGCTTCCGCGATGCCGATCTGTGATTTCTGCGAGGCATACAGGAAGAAGTCCAGAGAAATTTGTGGGTGTTGTGTACAGCGATATGAATCTCGAGAGCGTCAACTAGAGCGGTCCATTGCGCATTTTGATCGGCAACTGGAACGTGCCGAGAGGGACGCGCGATACGAGCTAAATAGAGTCAAGAGGGAGGCAGAAGAAAAGGTGAAATCGCTGGAGTGTCTTCTAGAAGGGTCCAGAATTGAAGCGAGAGAATCAAAATCCAGACTGGGCCGCACGCATCTCTTTTTACTGAAGGTCAAGGGCATGCTTGATATGTCGTTTTGCGATGTTACTCTGGAGACAACTGACGGAGGGAATATCTCCGCTCATCGCTGTATTCTTGCTGCATGGTAAGTAGACCAATGTGTGTTACCATTTTCTTCTTGCGGTACCATCGTGTTGTTATGTTAATGTTATGGTGGCAACAGGTGGCTCCTGTCTTTCCGAGACTCTTACTGGAAGTGTGTGTTCTGATTGTTGACTACGCATCCCTAGTCGATGTGTTATGCTTAAAATCAATTCTGCTAAGCTGGTATGATTGTGTGTACTCTTGTCTGTGGTTACAGGTCTCCTGTCTTTGCCAAGATGTTCAGTGGTGACTTTCAAGAAGCTAATAAAGACTCTGTTCTGATACACGATCTGGACTCCTCTACATTGGAGCAGCTTCTTGAATTCATGTACACTGGCGAGCTCCAAAAAGAAGATGCAACAATCAAGGTGAAGTGGAATGAACCCTTGTGATTTGTATTGCTAATTTCTGCTATGCTTGCAAGAAAACTTCTGACTTGCTCACTAGCATCGTGGTGCAGGAATTGAAACTCCTCGCTGCAGCTGACAAATACGAAGTTGTGGAACTCACTCGGTTCCTTGATTCTCGTCTCTGCACATGTTTTACAGACGACACAGCCTTCGAATTTTGGAAGGCAGCGAACTTGCATAATGCTCCGATGCTGAAAGAAACCTCCGCAAGTTACCTACTGAGTGGAGCAAATCGTGAAGCAGCTGTGAAAGTCTTGAAGGTGAGTTACGTTGTTTCTAGAAAGGTGCTTGTAAATGTGCTAATCAAAATGCCAGCAGTCATAATTTCTGCGTGTTTTGCATGTGCAGAGCATGATACTGGCAGATGACGTGTGTGAACGAGCTATGGCAGCAGAGTTGTTGGAAGAAAGGTTCAGAAGAGTCATACCGTACCATAAGCTGGGAAAGTTTGGTTTGAAAGCTGGAATGCATGCGTGTGGGTGTATGTGTGTGCGTGGTCGTGTGGGCGCATGCGCATGTGAGGTGAGAGTGAATGTGTGAATTATTTGGTTGTATAGTTTCTTGTGCTGAATGCATTTAGTAGACCATGTCTACTCTTGTAGCAATTACTTATGTCTCATCCTGCAGGAATGGCCTGGAAGGGTTCCACTGAAGTTTCAAAGCAGGTTACAATCATGGATGCGCAGCTAACACTTGTTTGCATGACATGCAAACCAACATGCTTACGCATGAACATTACCGTATGAACTTCTCTGGCAAAAGAGGTGTGAAAAGCACTATAGTAACAGGAACAACACAAAGACTACCAAGCCTTCCGCATGGGCTTCTCAAGCAGGCAGTGGAGAATGATAGTGCTGGCAGGCTTGCAATCATTGTAAAGTTTCTCAAAAGCACTGTAACGATAACACCTCTACAATCACAAGTCTTTCCGCATGGGTTTTTCGAGAAGGCAGTGCAAAATGACAGTGCCAGCAGGTTTGCCAATCATGGCCTTGGGGGGGGTGAGGCTCCAATGCAGATGGCGGTACTTTAGAAGGTCAAGCACTGAGAGGTATGATGGCATTTCTGCTGCCGAGGCTGTGAATTCCTCAAACCACATCACACCACCTGATTGAAGGAGAAAGGATACAACATGGGTGAGGGAGGGAAAGAGATACAAAGAAGAGAGACGGACAAGGCACGGAAGACGGGTAGAGGGGTAGGGGGGTGAGCCTCCAATGCAGGAGATCTAGGACTGAGAGGTGGGATGGCACATCTGCTGCCGAGGCTGTGAACTCCTCAAACCACATCACTCCACCTGGCGGGCAAGAGGGGAAAAACGAAAAGATGAAGTGCCAGTCAGGGGGTGTGAAAGAGGTGAGGCTCCAGTGCAGAATGACAGTGCCAGCAGGCTTGCCAATCATGGCCCTGCAGGGAGTGAGGCTCCAATGCAGGTGGCGGTACTTTAGAAGGTCCAGCACTGACAATTATGAGGGCATTTCTGCTGCCGAGGCAGTGAATTCCTCAAACCACATTTCTCCACCTGATTTAAGGGGGCGTGGAGAGGGACGGAAAAGAGGGGCATATCAAGGGAGACGGGCAAGGCACAGAAGATGGCATGGGGAAGGGAGGGGGGGTTGAGGCTCCAGTGGAGGTAACGGTACTTGAGCAGATTCAAGAACAATAGATCGAACTGCACACGCTGGCATGTGCACGTTGCTGAAAGGCCAACTCACCGGCTTGTAGCACGCGGTCCCACTTGAACAGGACTTCTACAAACTCAGCAGGCGACGGCATGAACTTGATGGCGTTGGTGGCGTGTGGAATGTGTCTACGGTGTTGTCGTGCAAAGGTGACCACACAGACAGATATCTGACATGTGCCAACTCACCGACTCTCAGCACGCGATCCCACTCGAATAGAACCTCCTCAAATTCAGCAGGCGATGGCATAAACTTGATTGCGTTGGTGGCGTGAAGAATGTCCAAAGTGTTGTCGTAGAAGGGCAGGCGAACCTGATGGGATGGAAGAGAAAGAAGTGGGGGTGGTGTGGGGGGGAAAGAAGCCGAAATGATGGCATTGGTGGCGTGAAGGATGTCCAAAGTGTTGTCGTAGAAGGGCAGGCGAACCTGATGGGATGGAAGAGAAATAAGTGGGGGTGGTGTGAGGGGGAAAGAAGCCGAAATGATGGCATTGGTGGCATGAAGGATGTCCAAAGTGTTGTCGTAGAAGGGCAGGCGGACCTGATGGGAGTGAAACAAGTCAAGGGGGGGGAGAGGGTGAACTTGATGGCGTTGGTGGCGTGTACAATGTCTATAGTGTTGCCATAGAATGGAAGGCGCACCTGATGCAAGGGGGTGTGGGAGAGAGTGGGAAGGAAGGGAAAGAAACTTCTTGCGCTGCAAAAAGACAATGGAAACCCCTTCTTTCGCCCCACATTGGCCTCGAGATTCATCAACCTCCCACACCATGTGCAGTGTGCAGCAGACAGACCTGACCTGCCCGCCTTATAGGGCAGCCACAACAGGGAGTTTTTGAGAATTCTCAAAAACTCCCTGCAACGCCTTATAGGGCTGCCACAACGGCACTAGGCCCCTGAAAGCAAAGGTCTTTAAAAAAGATAACCCTTTTCTTCTGCCCCACGTTGGTCTCGAGGTTCATCTCTCTCCCACACCTGTCAACCAGGTTCGTCAAATGCAGCAGCCAACTCACCCACCTTACAGGGAAGCCAGATGGGAACAAGTCCCCTCAGGGCAGTGGTTTCCAGGAAGGGAAGACCCTTCTTGCGCCCCACATTCGCCCCGAGGTTCATCTCTCTCCCTCCCACACCATGCGCAGCAATTCATGCAACAGACACACCCACCTTACAGGGAAGCCAGATGTGAACGAGTCCCCTCAGGGCAATGGTCTCTAGAAACGGAAACCCCTTCTTGCGCCCCACATTCGCCCCGAGGTTCACAGGGCAGTCCCTTCTATTGCAACAGTCACACCCACCTTGTACGGAAGCCAGATGGGAACAAGTCCCCTGAGAGCAATGGTTTCCAGAAAGGGCAGACCCTTCTTGCGCCCCACGTTGGCTTGCAGTTCATCTCTCTCCCACACCTCGTGCCGTGTAGCATGCAGCATGCAGTGCAACAGACGCACCCACCCACCTTGTAGGGAAGCCAGATGGGAACAAGGCCCCTCAGGGCAATGGTTTCCAGAAAGGGAAGACCCTTCTTCCGCCCCACATTAGCTTCAAGATTCATTGCTGACGTCATCATGGTCACGTTGTGCCTCGCCATGTGCGCAGCGAACGAGCCTGACCCCCCGTTGAAATCAAGACCGATTCTGAAAGAGAGGGGTGATGGATGGGAGAGGCAGGCAAACGATTCTGACAGTAAGCAATAACCTCCTTGACAGTAAGCGCCCTTCCTCCTGCAGTCATCTCTCAACAATCACCTCGCCCTCCTTTCACTTTTGAGAATTCTCAAAAGTGATTTCAATACAGTAAGCGCCCCTCCTCCTGCAGTCATCTCTCAACAATCACCTCGCCCTCCTTTCACTTTTGAGAATTCTCAGAAGTGATTTCAATACAGTAAGCGCCCCTCCTCCTGCAGTCATCTCTCAACAATCACCTCGCCCTCCTTTCACTTTTGAGAAATCTCAAAAGTGATTTCGATACAGTAAGCGCCCCTCCTCCTGCAGTCATCTCTCAACAATCACCTCGCCCTCCTTTCACTTTTGAGAAATCTCAAAAGTGATTTCGATACAGTAAGCGCCCCTCCTCCTGCAGTCATCTCTCAACAATCACCTCGCCCGCCTTTCCTCACTACTCCCTGAGCTCACCTCAGCGCCCCCTTCTTGATCGCAATAACCTCCTTCACAGCAAGCGCCCCCCTGCTGCACTCATGCTCCAACACCCACCACTCATCACCCACCGTCCACTCCCTTTCTCACCTCAGCGCCCCCTTCTTGATCGCGATATCCTCCTTCACAGTAAGCGCCCCCCCCTGCTGCACTAATGCTCCAACACCCACCACTCATCACCCACCGTCCACTCCCTTTCTCACCTCAGCGCCCCCTTCTTGATCGCGATATCCTCCTTCACAGTAAGCGCTCCCCCAGCCGCTGTGTTCTTGGGCGGCTTAACTACCCACCTACTCGCCTCGACCTCCTCTCCTACTATCCTCTCCTCCTCATTCATGTTCGAACAAACCCCCATTCTCACCTCAGAGCTCCTCTCTTGATCGCAATGACTTCCTTCACAGTAAGCGCCCCTCCTGCCGCTGTGTTCTTGGGCGGCTTGACCATCCACCTCCTCTCCTCCGCACCCATGACTTGTCAACCACAAATTATTGCCTGCAAGCAATCATCTCAAACTTACCTCAGCGCCCCCTTCTTGATCGCAACAACCTCCTTCACAGTAAGAGCCCCCCCTGCTGCTGTGTTCTTGGGCGGCTTAGCCATCCACCTCCCACTGTCCACTCCCTTTCTCACCTCAGAGCTCCTTTCTTGATCGCGATAACCTCCTTCACAGTAAGCGCCCCTCCCCCTGCCGTGTTCTTGGGCGGCTTAGCCATCCACCTCCCACTGTCCTCCACCTCCTCTCCTACTATCCTCTCCTACTATCCTCTCCTACTATCCTCTCCTACTATCCTCTCCTACTATCCTCTCCTACTATCCTCTCCTACTATCCTCTCCTACTATCCTCTCCTACTATCCTCTCCTACTATCCTCTCCTACTATCCTCTCCTACTATCCTCTCCTACTATCCTCTCCTCCTCATTCATGTTCCAACAAGGTGTTTTTGAGAATTCTCAAAAACACCCTACTCTCCTCCTATCCTCTCCTCCTATCCTCTCCTCCTCATTCATGTTCCAACAAACCCCCCTTTCTCACCTCAGCGCCCCCTTCTTGATCGCAATAACCTCCTTCACCGTAAGCGCTCCCCCAGCCGCTGTATTCTTGGGCGGCTTAGCCATCCACCTCCTCTCCCGTCCTCTCTTACTCACTCATGTTCCAAAACCCCCCATTCTCACCTCAGCGCCCCCTTCTTGATTGCAATAACCTCCTTCACCGTAAGAGCTCCTCCTGCTGCTGTGTTCTTGGGCGGCTTAACCATCCACCTCCTCTCCTCCGCACTCATGTTCCAACAACCGCCGCCACCCGGCTGCCGCCCGCAGGCGTCCCCCGTGCCGGCCGTGGCAGTGGCGAGGGCGGAGGGGGAGAGGGCGTTGAGGGAGGCGAAGGAGGAGAAGGCGTGGTTGTTCCAACGGACAGATGAGTCTTGGAGGGCGGATTGAGCAAAGAGAGAGGCTGGTCTTGACAAGGGCTGCAGGAGGAGCGAGGAGGGAATAAAGGGGAGAAAAAAAGGAGAAAAAGGGGAGAAAACTGGAGACGGTGAGGCAGAATCGGTGTCTGCAGGCGTCCCCTGTGCCGGCCGTGGCAGAGGCAAGGGCGGAGGGGGAGAGGGCGTTGAGGGAGGCGAAGGAGGACAAGGCGTGGTTGTTCCACCTCACTGATGAGTCTTGAAGGGCTGACTGGGAGAAGAGGGACGTTGGTCTTGACAGGGGCTGTATGGAAGGAGTGGAGAAGCAGGCAGCGCAAACACAGTACGGAAGGTGCAGATGAGGAGGCAAGACTTTTGAGTCGACTCAAAACACAGTACGGAAGGTGCAGATGAGGAGGCAAGGAGGGGGGAAGAGAGCTGGGGGACACGGCGAAGGAGGAGATGGCGTGGTTGTTCCACCGGACTGAGGCGTCTTGGAGGGCGGACTGGGAGAAAAGAGCAGCTGGCCTTGAGAGGGGCTGCAAGATGGGCACGGGAGAGAGAGGGAGGGGGAAAGGGAGGGGGAGAGGGCGTTGAGGGAGGCGAAGGAAGAGAAGGCGTGGTTGTTCCACTGCACTGAGGCGTCTTGCAGGGCGGACTGGGAGAAAAGAGACGTTGGCCTTGAGAGGGGCTGGAAGGAGGGTAGACAGAGTAGCAGCAAGGAGGGGGAGAGGGCGTTGAGGGAGAAGGTGAATGAGAAGCAGGCGTGGTTGTTCCACGGCACTGAGGTGTCTTGCAGGACTGACTGGGAGAAGAGAGCGGTAGGTCTTGACAAGGGCTGGGGTAGGAGCGGGGAAGGGAGGAAGCAGGCAGGGAAAACACAGTACAGGAGGGGCAGATGAGAAAGCAAGGAAGGGGTGAGGGCGTTGAGGCAGGACTCAGGACACATCCCCCTCACACAACCGTGTATGATACATCCACCCGCATGCCCACCTACACACCCACCCACCCACCCAGCCAACCACTCGCCCACCCACCTCGACTATCTTGTGTGCCGTGCGAGAAAGGCAGCGCCTCTTTGGTAAGGAGTGGCACTGCTTCCGGAAGATCAAATCCTGGGCAAATAGCCAGTCGTCAGGACACATGCCCCTCACCTCACATACCCATGATATATCGACCCACACAACACCCACCCACCTCCACTATCTTGTGTGCCGTGCGAGAAAGGCAGCGCCTCTTGGGCAGCGAGTGGCACTGCTTGCGAGTGGCACTGCTTGCGAGTGGCCCCTCACCTACGCACCACCCACGCAACCCTTCACCACCCACCCACCACCCACCTCCACTATCTTGTGTGCCGTGCGAGCAAGGCAGGGCCTCTTTGGTAGTGAGTGGCATTGTTTGCGGAAAATTAGGTCTTGGACGAACAACCAATCGTCAGGGCACATGCCTCTGGTCTCGAAGTCCATGTAGCGCTGCAGCTCGCGCTCTGTAGCGGAACATGAGTAACCCTGTAACGGGGATGAATGAAAATAGAACAAAACGGAGCGAAAGGCATGAGCTGATCGCCAGGACACATGCCCTTTGTCTCGTGTAGTCCACATAGCGTTGCAGAGTATTTTTGAGAATTCTCAAAAATACCCTTTTGTCTCATAGTCCACGTAGCGTTGACTTTTGAGTCGACTCAAAAGTCAACTTGAGAATTCTCAAAAATACCCTTTTGTCTCATAGTCCACGTAGCGTTGACTTTTGAGTCCACTCAAAAGTCAACTTGAGAATTCTCAATAATACCCTTTTGTCTCATAGTCCACGTAGCGTTGACTTTTGAGTCGACTCAAAAGTCAACTTGAGAATTCTCAATAAGGTCGTATCCCTGCCTAGTGTCAAGAAGTTGGTGTCAAGAAGTTTGCGCATGCGATTGGTTAAAAAAACGATTGACCAATCGCATTGGCCGGAAATTTGTTCTGGACCAATAGGGTGCGAGCACTTCTTGACACTAACTTCTTGACACTAGGCAGGGAAATGACCTAATACCCTTTTGTCTCATAGTCCACATAGCGTTGCAGCTCGCACGCACCATGTCACGGGATGGGAAGAGTCTCAAAGCTAAGCGTCAAAACAGCCCCTTGCTCGGACTTTGAAGGCAAGCTACGTGTAGAGAGGGTGTTTTTGAGACGTCTCAAACACACCCTCTCTACACGAGAAGCTAAGAGTTCTTTGAGAGGCAACCTCCGGTTGTACATGAAGGCTAGCTGTTCTATTTAAAGGACTGGGAACGGCCTAAATAAAGGCGAACATAAAGGCGAGGAATTCACGCTCTGTAGCAGAACACGGGGGTAGCTCATCACGTAACACACACACTAACACACAGACACATATGCGCAGAAACACACACACACACACACACAGATACTGACAGCCCCTCCCACCCACCTTCCAGCTGGGAACCTTCTTGGAAATTACAGGGCCTGTCTGGGGCTTGCAGCTGTGCAGCAGCTCCGTTGCCCTGGTGAGAGCCTGGAAGGGGGGGGGAAGGGGGGGGGAAGGGGGGGGGATGGGGAAGGATGGGGGGAGGATGGGGAGGATGGGGAGAGAAGAAGGGAAACGTAAGGAAGGCTGTGGGGACAGTCAGTGCCTGTCTGCCTGGGGCTTGCAGCTGTGCAGCAGCTCCGTCGCCCTGGTGAGGTGAGCGCCTGGGGTTGGGAGGGGAGAGGAGGGAGGATGGGACGAATACGAATACGAATCCGAAACGAAGGAAAATGTAAGGAAACTGAGGCTGTGCGGACATGTGACTTGCAGCTCTGCAGCAGCTCCGTTGCCCTGCTCAGCGCCTGGAGGGGGATGGGGAACGGATGGGGTAAGTCAAAGGATGAGGGGGAAAGGCAAAAGGGAGAGACAAGGGAAAAGGTAAGGAAGGCTGTATGCGCGGCCATCCTGGTTGCAGCTGTGCGGCCGCTCCGTTGCCCTGCTCAAGGCCTGGAGGGAGGTGGTGATGGGGAAAGGGGAAGAGAAGAGGGGAATGTGAAGGGATAGGCGAACGCGAGGCACTTGCGGCTTGCAGCTGTGCAGCAGCTCCGTTACCCTGCTCAGCGACTAAAGGAAGGGTGGAGGTGATTGGGGGGGAGTGGTGGGGAAGAGGGGGAAAGGGGATAAGAAGAGAGGGTTGTGTGGGGATGGAAGGAGTTGACTTTTGAGTCGACTCAAAGTTCAACTTGGTGGGGAAGAGGGGGAAAGGGGATAAGAAGAGAGGGTTGTACGGGGATGGAAGGAGTTGACTTTTGAGTCGACTCAAAAGTCAACTTGGTGGGGAACAGGGGGAAAGGGGATAAGAAGAGAGGGTTGTACGGGGATGGAAGGAGTTGACTTTTGAGTCGACTCAAAAGTCAACTTGGTGGGGAAGAGGGGGAAAGGGGATAAGAAGAGAGGGTTGTACGGGGATGGAAGGAGCTGACTTTTGAGTCGACTCAAAAGTCAACTTGGTGGGGAAGAGGGGGAAAGGGGATAAGAAGAGAGGGTTGTACGGGGATGGAAGGAGTTGACTTTTGAGTCGACTCAGAAGTCAACTTGGTGGGGAAGAGGGGGAAAGGGGATAAGAAGAGAGGGTTGTACGGGGATGGAAGGAGTTGACTTTTGAGTCGACTCAAAAGTCAACTTGGTGGGGAAGAGGGGGAAAGGGGATAAGAAGAGAGGGTTGTACGGGGATGGAAGGAGTTGACTTTTGAGTCGACTCAAAAGTCAACTTGGTGGGGAAGAGGGGGAAAGGGGATAAGAAGAGAGGGTTGTACGGGGATGGAAGGAGTTGACTTTTGAGTCGACTCAAAAGTCAACTTGGTGGGGAAGAGGGGGAAAGGGGATAAGAAGAGAGGGTTGTGTGGGGGTGGAAGGAGTTGACTTTTGAGTCGACTCAAAAGTCAACTTGGTGGGGAAGAGGGGGAAAGGGGATAAGAAGAGAGGGTTGTACGGGGATGGAAGGAGTTGACTTTTGAGTCGACTCAAAAGTCAACTTGGTGGGGAAGAGGGGGAAAGGGGATAAGAAGAGAGGGTTGTGTGGGGATGGAAGGACGTGTGGACACGCGGCTTGCAGCTGTGCAGCAGCTCAGTCGCCCTGGTCAGAGCCTATAGGGAGGGTGGTGGTGAGGGGGGGTTGGGGGATGGGTGGAACACAAGGGGAAATGTAAGGAAGGCTGCTGTGAACATGCGGCTTGCAGCTCTGCAGCAGCTCTGTTGCCCTGCTCAGTGCCTGGGGGGAGGGTGGTGGTGGTGGTGGGAGGGGGTGATGGGGATGGGATGGTGGGAGGATGGGGAAAGACGAGGAGGAAAGGGACGGGGGAAGGGAAAGGAAGGGGGAACACGAGAGGGAAATAAGAGGGGGAAAGACGAGGAGGAAAGAAGAATAGAGATTTTACAGACTTCTCAAGACTAGAGCAGCAGCACCTGCGCTCCTACAACCCCGACACCACACGAGGTGACTTTTGAGTCGACTCAAAAGTCACCTGCACTCCTACAACCCCGACACCACACCCGCAATATGGGAATGTTTTGAGACGTCTCAAAACACACCCGCAATAGGGGAATGTTTTGAGACGTCTCAAAACACACTTGCAATAGGGGAATCACATTTGAGAATTCTCAAAAGCCCTCTTACAACCCTGACACCACACCCGCAATACACACACACACGCGCACGTGCGCACACACACACACACAACCACACACACACACACACACACACACACAAACACACACACACGCACACACACACACAAACACCCACACACGCACACATGCACACTCACGCGCACACACACACACACAAACACCCACACACGCACACACACGCACACACACGCACACACACACAAACACACGCACACGCACGCGCACACGCACACGCACGCACACGCACGCACACGCGCACACGCACGCACACACACACACACACACACACACAAACCCCCCCCCCCCCCCCCCACACACACACACACACAAACCCACACACACACAAACCCACACACACACAAACCCACACACACACAAACCCACACACACACAAACCCACACACACACACAAACCCACACACACACGGGTGTATTGTATGCACATCCCCCTCCAGACCTCTTCCTTCCCCCCAACAAGCACACCTCCTTGGTAATGGCCTACTTTCCCCAGTCGGCCCCCAACTCGGTCAGCTTCACATCAAGTGCAGCCTTGTGACTACTTGTTGTTCAACTAACTATCACACGGCACATACGCACACATACACACAAGCACGCACCTCCTTGGTAATGGCCTTCTTTCCCCAGTCCGCCCCCGACTCAGTCAGCTTCACATCAAGCGCTGCCTTGTCCGCGTTCACCTTCTGGTGCCGCTTCTGGTGTTGAGAGAGGTGGGATAAGGTTGGGAGGAAAACAGAGGGGTGGAAGGACAGGCACATGAGACAAGACTCTGTCAGCTTCACATCAAGCGCTGCCTTGTCCGCGTTCACCTTCTGGTGCCGCTTCTGGTGTTGAGAGAGGTGGGATAAGGTTGGGAGGAAAACAGAGGGGTGGAAGGACAGGCACATGAGACAAGACTCTGTCAGCTTCACATCAAGTGCTGCCTTGTCCGCGTTCACCTTCTGGTGCCGCTTCTGAAAGGGCCGAGGAATAAAAGAAGGGAGAGGGAAGGGTGTGGAGAATGAGAGCATGGAGGGGTGAAAGGGGCATGCCTCTGTCAGCTTCACATCAAGTCAAGCACTGCCTTCACCTTCTCGTGGCGCTTCTGAACAGGGTAAGAACAAAGGGGCAGAGGGAAAGAGTGTAAGGGGGGAATGAATGGACGGAAAGATGGGCGCACAAGACAAGACTCTGTCAGCTTCACATCCAGCCCAGCGCTGCCTTGTCTGCATTCACCTTCTCCAGCCGCTTCTGATGATGTGACGGGGTGGGATCACGTGAACGAGAGAGGCAAAGACGGGCACACAAGACAAGACTCTGTCAGCATCACATCCAGCCCAGCGCTGCCTTGTCTGCATTCACCTTCACTCTAAAGTCGTTTTGAGGCGCCTCAAAAGTCGACTCAGACCGCTTCACATCCAGCCCAGCGCTGCCTTGTCTGCATTCACCTTCACTCTAAAGTCGTTTTGAGGCGCCTCAAAAGTCGACTCAGACCGCTTCACATCCAGCCCAGCGCTGCCTTGTCTGCATTCACCCTCACTCTAAAGTCGTTTTGAGGCGCCTCAAAAGTCGACTCAGACCGCTTCACATCCAGCCCAGCGCTGCCTTGTCCGCATTCACCTTCACTCTAAAGTCGTTTTGAGGCGCCTCAAAAGTCGATTCAGACCGCTTCACATCCAGCCCAGCGCTGCCTTGTCTGCATTCACCCTCACTCTAAAGTCGTTTTGAGGCGCCTCAAAAGTCGACTCAGACCGCTTCACATCCAGCCCAGCGCTGCCTTGTCCGCATTCACCTTCACTCTAAAGTCGTTTTGAGGCGCCTCAAAAGTCGATTCAGACCGCTTCACATCCAGCCCAGCGCTGCCTTGTCTGCATTCACCCTCACTCTAAAGTCGTTTTGAGGCGCCTCAAAAGTCGACTCAGACCGCTTCACATCCAGCCCAGCGCTGCCTTGTCTGCATTCACCTTCACTCCTCTAAACACAGGCACAGACACACACAGACACGCACCTCCTTCACATCAAGCGCTGCCTTGTCCGCATTCACCTTCACTCCTCTAAACACAGGCCGAACCGAACCACCCACCCTAACCTGCAAGGCCTCATATTCCGCTTTCAGTTGTTTCAGCTCCCCCTGCTTCTCCACCAGTCAAATCTGCAGCTCCATCACATCGTTCGCCTCTGTGCCCCTCCCATTCAGCCTCATACCGACCTGCACCCCACCTGCAATGCAAGGACTCATATTCCGCCTTGAGTCGTTTCAGCTCCCCCTGCTTCTCCACCAGTCGAATCTGCAGCTCCATCACATCGTTCACCTCTGTGCCCCTCCCATTCAGCCTCATACCGACCTGCACCCCACCTGCAATGCAAGGACTCATATTCCGCCTTGAGTCGTTTCAGCTCCCCCTGCTTCTCCACCAGTCGAATCTGCAGCTCCATCACATCGTTCGCCTCTGTGCCCCTCCCATTCAGCCTCATACCGACCTGCACCCCACCTGCAATGCAAGGACTCATATTCCGCCTTGAGTCGTTTCAGCTCCCCCTGCTTCTCCACCAGTCGGCTCTGCAGCACCATCACATCGCCCGCCTCTGTATCCCTCCCTTCCCTCCCACCCTCCCCTGTTACCTTACGTGCGCTGCCCCATAAACCCACCTGCAAGGCTTCGTATTCCGCTTTCAGCTGTTTCAGCTCCCCCTGCTTCTCCACCAGTCGGCTCTGCAGCTCCATCACATCACCCCTGCCCCTGTGCCCCTCCTCTGTGCCTGTTTTACCCTAGGCTCATCATACCAGCCCACACCGCACAGAACCCACCTGCAGAGCCTCGTATTCCGCCTTCAACCGTTTCAACTCAGCCTGCTTCTCCACCAGTCGGCTCTGCAGCTCCATAACATCGTCCGCCTCTCTGCCCCTCCCCCCTGCGCCTCCCCTTCCGCCCCCTCCCCTTCCCCTTCCCCCTCCTCCCCCCGGCTGCCCCTCGCTGCCCGCATCGCCCAGCTTGCTTGCTTCAACCCCTGCCAGCGGAGCGAGGGACGGAGGGGCCATGGATGTAGGGAGGAGAGTAGGGGGGGAGGAGGAAAGGTGATTCACCCCCGTATTGAGCAAGTCAAACTCTCCATTAATTGACCCTCCCTCCCCCTCGCTGCCCCTCGCTGCCCGCATCGCCCAGCTTGCTTGCTTCAACCCCTGCCAATGCGAGGGTAGTGAACGCCAGCCACGTGAGACGTCTCAAAACACTCCTTCTTTCACGTGGCTCCAATGCGAGGGTAGTGAACGCCAGCCACGTGAGACGTCTCAAAACACTCCTTCTTTCACGTGGCTCCAATGCGAGGGTAGTGAACGCCAGCCACGTGAGACGTCTCAAAACACTCCTTCTTTCACGTGGCTTCAATGCGAGGGTAGTGAACGCCAGCCACGTGAGACGTCTCAAAACACTCCTTCTTTCACGTGGCTCCAATGCGAGGGTAGTGAACGCCAGCCACGTGAGACGTCTCAAAACACTCCTTCTTTCACGTGGCTCCAATGCGAGGGTAGTGAACGCCAGCCACGTGAGACGTCTCAAAACACTCCTTCTTTCACGTGGCTCCAATGCGAGGGTAGTGAACGCCAGCCACGTGAGACGTCTCAAAACACTCCTTCTTTCACGTGGCTCCAATGCGCGGGTAGTGAAAGGCAGCCATAGAAGAAAGGAGGAGGTTAGGAGGGGAGGAGGAATGGTGATTCATTCAGCAAATTGTGCAAGTTGTGAATTCTCCCTCAGTCGACCCCCCTTTCCCCCTCCCCCTTGCTGCCCCTCGCTGCCCTGATCGCCCAGCTTGCTTGCTTCAACACCTGCCAACGGCCAAGGCGAGCAAGGGAGGGAAGGAGTGCAGATGAGGGTTAGTGGACATCAGAGAGGCAGGAATTATAGGTGATACATCAGTAGTCGACCCTCCCCTCCCCCGCCCCCCCTCCTCTTGCTGCCCCTCGCTGTCCGCATCGCCCAGTTTTGCTTGCTTCAACCCCTGGCAAGGCGAGCAAGGAAGGGGAAGCGTGGAGGAGCAAAGGTGATGCACCACGGATTGCATAACGGATTGCATCTGAAATTCGTTGGGTTCGAAACGCAGCAAGCCTGCTAAGAGTAACGATCTATAGCACTAGTCTACTAATTTGAAAGGCGAGGGAAGTAGTGAGAAAAGGTCTACTAATCAGAAAGCCAGATACATTAGGCCTAGATGTCGCGTGTGAACGCGTTCCGGCCAGCAAAGGCATTCATCAGCACATGATGAAGGCCGTAGTTGGCCAAAACGCGTTCGCACGCGAACATCCGGGCCCATTGTGTATGGCGTTCTGACTAAAATACTTTTTTCTTACGACTTCCCTCATTTTTTCGGATTAGTACCGGTAGCCTTAGTTCTATAGATCGTTCTTAATCTCTTAGAAGGCTTGCAGCGGATCAAACCCAGCTGATTTCAACAGCAAAGGTGATGCACCACGGATTGCATAACGGATTGCATCACTACCTCACAGCATTCCTGAAAACCACTCGCGAAGCTCCTTCAACTGTTTTTGAGACGTCTCAAAAATCGTGAAGCACCTTCAACTGCTCCTCACACTGGGAACACGCCCCGCCCCCCTCCCCTCCCCCCCAACCCCTTTTCCCCACCCCACTAACCCCCTCAATCAGTGATATCTAGCAACAATACGCACTCGCAACCGCATGCACCCCTCGTTACCGCACTGCACACCTGCGAACCATTCTTGGAGCTCCTTCAGCTGCTCCCTACACTGGGCACACGTCCCCCGCACACCCCCCTCTGCACTCTTGAGTGTCCTGCCACAGCACAAGGGGGTGAGATGGTGGGAGAAGAGCAAGAGAACGTATGCTCTTTTTCATGATGCAAGGGAGGAGATACTCTTTCCCTTGAGTCACACGTCCCCCCCGCCCCGCCGCCTGCACTCTTGATTGGGAGATCTGCGGAGCACAAGGGGGTGGGATGGGAGTGGAAGAGGAGATTATATGCTGGGACGAAGACACTCTTTCAGTCAACGCACACGTCCCCCGCGCCCCTCCCTCTGCACTCTTGAGGGATCTGCGGAGCACAAGGGGGTGGGATGCGAGAGGAAGGTGGGATGGGAGAGGAGCAACGGGGGTAGACGAGGATACTCCTGCAGGCGACTCACACGTCCCCCGCGCCGCGCCGTCTGCACTCTCTTGAGAGATCTGCGGCGGAGCACAAAGGGGTGTGATGGGAATGAAATGAGAAGCAATTGGGTACTCTCAGTAGTAACCCCTCCCTCGTTTCAGTTCAGTAGGGGAAAATACTCTCCTCCGAAACCCGTCTGCACTCTTGAGAGATCCGCGGAGCACAAAGGGGTGTGATGGGAGAGGAAGGTGTGATGCGAGCGGAAGGTATGATGCGAGCGGAAGGTGTGATGGGAGCGGAAGGTGTGATGCGAGCGGAAGGTGTGATGCGAGCGGAAGGTGTGATGGGAGCGGAAGGTGTGATGCGAGCGGAAGGTGTGATGCGAGCGGAAAGGAGAATGGAACTCTCATTCAGTTGATAACTCCCACCCTCCCCCTCTCCCTCTGCAGTAACGAGCCACTGCTGCCGTTGGCCTGGCCCTCCGTCTCCGGTCGAACCCCACGGCAGAAGCGGAAACTCACAATAACGAAGCAGTTGGATTTCGAAAGTTTATACCGTGGACAAGAATGAATCCCGTTACCGTTTAGCGGGAGATTCCTGCTGTAACGAGGCGCTGCTGCCGCTACCTCTCCGTCTCTGATCCAAACCCACGGCAGACGCGGAAACCGACAGTCCAGAAGCTGCTGCTGACGCTACCCCATGACCTTCAATCGGTCCGAACGAATGCGCTGCGGCTGCTGTTGCTGCTGCTGCTTCTGCTGTTGACAATGAGAGAATCGCGAGAAGTACCTGAGCTATACTACCGAAGACGAATAATAACGAGGATCGAGTGCTCAATGGAGGCATTTTGTGTTGAGACAGCCGTATCATAATATCAAGTCGGCCACTTTGTAGCCGTTGCTAGGATTTCACTTCCCAGACAGCCGCCGGGTCGCCTTTTGATTTCACGCAACACCCATGCCTCACTGCGCCTCGCTGATGTAACGCCAGAGTTGCGGCTTCAGTTATGAGTTTCAACGCGAGGTAGGTAAGGACGTCGTAGGTCCTGCCTGCGTCGGTTCCATGTGTCCTGTCCCGTTATTGCAAGTGCTACGGGTCGGCGTGGCAAACTTACGGTTTAGCTATATATATAACCTCAGATTCTTTTGTCAGCTTCCTCCAACCTACGGTATCAGAAATCCATCAAGCCTTATTCCTGCTCTCATCTTATCAATGTAGAACTCACAGCAAACCATTGAAATTTTGTCCAAGAGGGTGACATTCCATACTAGAAGAACTCGTTAGAGAGAGCATCAATAACAATGTTTTGCAAGCACGATCAGGGAACTAAGGGCTGGAGGAAACAAAAGTCGCCCTGTCGTTGCTCAGCCATCGGCTGACGGTTGGAATGGAAGCAAGCTTTGCTGAATAGTTTCTAATTAAAATGCTCTCAGCCCAGAACTAGAAGGTCATGCTTTCACAGGTCTCTTCCTCGCTTTCCCACATAGTGCATGGTTGTTATTTGGATGAGCCACAACCATAAAAAGCCTGGACTATATATCACTAGACTGTTGAATCACTTCCAGCACCTGGGATTTTGTCCATGGGCCGACATGCGTGGAGGCAGCAAAGCTGTAGCGCTTAAACCAACCACTCCAGCTGTGTGTGATGTTCTTCCAAGGTATGGTGTATCGTTTCTTCGGATTTTTGACAGCAATGCATGAAGGACCAACCATAAGGTAGGGTTGAACCCCTCCCGATCTGATGTTGTCTGCACGTACCTTCACCACTAAGTAACATTTTGAAGCAGAGGACCTGCCGTCCATCATTGGGAGAATGGTAGAGCCAGGGAATGATACTCTCACACATTATGTCAAGGTTCTTCACTGACTTCTTGGTCTAGGATCAGGAGAAAACACAAAAGTCACACAATAGTTTACCGATGAAGCATTAAATGTCAAATGAATGCAAATGCAAGAAGAGCTACACCAGACTGAATATTAGAAGCAAGAACAAAAGCTTCACTTACTCTACTCCCTTGGACGAGTATTTCCCCGTTGCTGCCAGGTCACCAACAACCTTTCCATGGCTACAGGGGGGTCTCAGCTTGGCCACATAGCGCACTGAAGATGGAATCGGGTGGAAGGCAAGAACGATGGTAAAAAGGACTACCGCTCCAACGCGTTATAGTGAATGTGTTATAGTGGAGCGTAATAGTGGAGCGTTATAATACGTGTTACCCCCGCGGAGCACAATATAGCAGTTTTCCAGCTTTTCCATACATGATACGTAGAAGAAGAATCAGGCGGAGAATTGACTGAAACATTCTCGTGCTTGGGCTGATTGGAAGCACTCACAGAACACTTTTCCCTTAGGAACAGTCGCGCTCTGAGTGGACGACGCGACAGGGAGCGCGCCAGGAGGGGACGACTCATCAAAAGCTGCAAGGGACGAGAGTAAGACGGACTCCGGGAATGACGAGAGTAAGAGAGGCGCTGGGAGCGACGGTGCGGCAGACGTTGGGTGTGGCGGCGCGGCAGACGCTGCTGCACCGGCAGTTGTGAGGAACGTTACTAAGACACCTGAGAAAACTGAAACAAGAGAGTGAATCAACTATAGAAGGAGTGGGTACAAGTACTAACCCTAATTGGGTTGTACCCCCTGTGGGATACCCCACTACAGCCTACACAACAGCATAAGCTATAATGTTCTGACACACCCCCATAGGCAAAGTGGGGGAGAACAAGGGGTCACAAGACCAGTCAAGCAAAGCAAAGCGAAGCAAGCTCAGGGTGGATCACAAAGTCACCACACATTCCGAGCACAAGTTCAAGAAGCAATAGTTTCAAGTTCACAATTATGAGCAAAGCTAGTGGTAGTCACAACGGGCAAGTGAGGAGGAGGAGAGAGAGTGAGAGGAGAGGAGATAGGAGGCGACGACTGAAGCTGCAGACACACGGGCAACAGGAGGCACACTGGCACAGCGGCTACCGGAACAACGCTCCGGAATACTGGAGTAACTAGCCCCGCGGCTAAAGTAGCGGCAGCCGAGCAATGGACCCACGGGCGGCTGGCACAGCTGGCTACGACTGGGCTACCGGAGCAACTCCACGGAATACAGGTGCTGCTGGCGACACGACGGCAACCTCCATGCAGCTTCCCCAAACTATCCCACTCCCCCTGGCACACACCCGCTGCTACACCGCTAGCTCCACTCCCACGCACCCCCCTTAAACCCTAAACCCCAGTCTCCAACTCATCCACCCCCCTCAGCGATAGCTGCAGTAGTGGGAGACGGAGGAGGAGCAGGGGACCGCGCATACCCGCCACCCCCATACCCGTCAACCCCATACCTTGAGTGTGCGGTAAGCAAGCTCAGGTGTGCGCGAAACGTGCACAAGCGTGCGGGAAGCGAATGCGGGTGTGCGGTAAGCAAACGCAGGTGTGCGGGAAGGGGGGGCCGCAGGGTGACACGCGGGTCGACGGGGACGGGCGCACGGGTCGTCAAGGGCGGCGCGCGGGTCAACGGGGCCGCCGCGAAGGGCGACGGGGAGCCGCGCGCAGGTCGACGGGGATGGGCGCGCGGGTCGACGGAAAGCGAAACCGCCGCGTGCGCTCAGGGTGTGCGGTGGGCAGGAAACCGCCACGCGTCCCGAGCGCATGGCGGGCAGAAAACCGCCGCGCGAAGCAGGAAAGCCGCCGCGCGCCTCCCAAGGGCGACGCGCCGAGGGACGGGGCAGAAGCCCGCCGCGCGCCTCGGGGCGCACAGCGGGCAGAGAACCGCCTCGTCCCCTCGGGCCGCAGGTGAGAAGGGCGGCGACGCGCCTCTGTTAGGGCGGCGACGGGCCGTTACTAGGGTGGCGACGGGCCGCAGGTGAGAAGGGCGGCTACGGGTCGCCGCTAGGGCGGCGACGGGCTGCTGGTGAGAGGGCGGCGACGGGCCGCTGCTAGGGCGGCGACGGGCCGCAGGTGAGAAGGGCGGCGTCGGGCCGCAGGTGAGAAGGGCGCCGCGACGGGTCACTAAGGGTGACGCGACGGGTCGCTAAGGGCGCCGCGACGGGTCGCTAAGGGTGACGCGACGGGTTGCTAAGAAGGGCGCGACCCTAAGGGTGACGCGACGGGTCGCTAAGGGTGACGCGACGGGTCGCTAACGGTGACGCGCCGCGACGGGTCGCTAAGGGCGCCGCGACGGGTCGCTAAGGGTGACACGACGGGTTGCTAAGAAGGGCGCGACCCTAAGGGTGACGCGACGGGTCGCTAAGGGTGACGCGACGGGTTGCTAAGAAGGGCGCGACCCTAAGGGTAACGCGACGGGTCGCTAAGGGGGACGCGACGGGTCGCTAAGGGCGACGCGACGGGTCGCTAAGGGCGACGCGACGGGTCGCTAAGGGCGACGCGACGGGTCGCTAAGGGTGACGCGACGGGTCGCTAAGGGTGACGCGTTCGGGCAGGGGCAGAACGCGCCCCGGGCAGGAAAAAAAAATCGGTGGGCCCTAGGAACAGTTCCCACGAGGGAACCTGCTCGATACCATGAGAAAACTGAAACAAGAGAGTGAATGAACTATGGAAAGAGTGGGTACAAGTACTAACCCTAATTGGTTTGTACCCCCTATGGGATACCCCACTACAACCTACACAACAGCATAAGCTATAATGTTCTGACAACACCTGCACACGGAGGCACAGGGCAGGTCTCGTAAGAATCACACCGCGTTTTGAGCAGCAGAGACTTAAAAGCATTTGCGAAGGGGCGGGATATGTAGGTGCTCACAGATTGATAGATAGCAATACGTAGTGCGCTCCATCATGATACTAGCAATAGATGGGAAGAAGACGCGCAACAATAGATACTAACAAAAGAAGATAGGTTCGCTAGAAATTGATCAAGAAGCCACCATCGAATGACCGTCACGGTATGTGGCTAGTCAGGGCAAGATTCTACGTACAACGCAGGGCGATTCTTGGACGGAACATCGTCGCCGCATACACGCACCATGAACTGGCTCAAATCAAACGTGTCGGGTCGTGTGCACTCAGAAGGGCAGATAAGTCGCTTGTCTTTGTGTGGCGTTGCATTGCTGGATTCCGAGTGCACCATTGCCCGCACACGAGGCCGTGTGTAGAGTTCTTCCTTCATTCCTCCAACAGAAAGCAAGAAGTGAGGCGAAATGGCAGGGCGGTGGGGGGGGGGGGGGAGGGATGGAAAAGGTTTGCTGGTGTGGTGTCAGATGGCGAACAGCGCTGGCGAGATGAGCTGGCGAAGTGCAGGTGTGGCGAGGGTGGTTGGGCTTTCGCGAAACGCTGGCGACGACTTTCGTCCATAGGTCCGTGCCTGCTGAGGGTTGAGCCTTGTTCAAGTATCACTGTGCAGACGGTGAGTAGCGGTTCAAAGCAGTGATTTAAACGTACAAAACCGTTTACAACAGCGTACACTGGACCGAAAATGAACACCCGCCCTGAAACCTAGAAAGTTAGTAAAACTGCCTCATTGACGAACGGCAAATGACCTTCCATCCATGGTGTTACAGGGGGTTTTACTGTTCACTTTGCACAGTAACTCCCAACCCCACCCTTATCCTCATCTTCTTGGATTTCCTAGTGCCACGTGGCACTCTACTTTTCTTGCTTCTACTTTCTAGTCCCACGAAGTACTTTCCGACATTTGACCTTGCATGCTATATCATCCTTGCTTGTATCCACCAATATCAATCAATTCTCATTCAACTCTTCTTCAATTACTCAGTACCGTATTCCCCCAGATAGAAGACCCCCCCAAAATACAACACCCCCGGGTACCTAATACGGGGGGGGTACTTTATTAAACCTTGATTTCGTTATACCCCCCTTTTGGGGGGTGACCAATATAA